TATCATTTTATTATTTTTAAGATAGCGAGAAAGGGAGACTGGCAATTTTCTGTAAATGTCATGAAACACATGTCTCTGGAATACACATTGTTGATTTAAATGCTAAAAAAAAATGACTCTTGAGTGCTAACAGTCATCTCTGAATTCCCTCCCTTTCCCTTCTATGTTAATTCCTGGAGAAGAGGAGGCTCAGGGGGGACCTTATTACTCCCTACAACTACCTCAAAGGAGGTTGTAGCCAGGTGAAGCTCGGCCTCTTCTCCCAGGCGATCAGCAACAGGACAAGAAGGTATAGTCTTAAACTGTACCAGGGAAAGTTTAGGTTGGACATTAGGAAGAAATTCTTCACAGAAAGGATTATTCGATATTGGAATGGGCTGCCCAGGGACGTTGTGGAGTTACCATTCCTGGAGGTGTGTAAGGAAAGACTGGACATGGCACTCAGTGCCATGGGCAAGTTGACATGGTGGTGTTTGTTCTCGGAGGACTTTTTCAACCTAATTGATTCTGTGATTCTGTAATTCCTTCATGGTTCATTCTTACTGTTTCTCAAGTTGGAGAAAAAGGCTTTGCTGGTATTTGGATATAAATCCATAGGTGGACTTTGGCAATTATATGTGTAGCTCCTTCTGGAATCAAGTGCTTTTAGCATTTCCGAAACCTGAATGCACTCAAATGTGGAGGTACTGGTGTCCTCCTTACCTGGGGCTCTTTTGTTCACTGTCATCTCCTTGTGAGACGGGCAGCCTGTTGTCCATATCTGGAGGTTTTAAACACAGGTCCTGGCTTCCCCCCAGGCTGCAGATGACTCAGTGTGGGGATACACTTTGTTCCCCTGGTGCAGGAAATTTCATCCTAAATAGAGATTCCTTTCAGTTTTGTTTCTGAATTTTCCTGCTTGAAACGAGAGAGGCATATTTGAGCGCTCAAATTTTACCTACAATTTGATGTACCTTGAATAAATTTATCTGAAAACTCTGGTTTTATCCAATTTCATCCCACACACACTTTAATGCGTGTATGTAGATGCCTTTCCAAGGGTGCAAAAACGTGTTGTCTCCCGGCATTCAGTGGCAAATCCCAGTTTAGGCTGCAAATCAAAACGGAAAGAGCAGTGTTAACTTCTTTTTTTGGTGCATTGCCAGTGAGGGTTCTGCATCAGCATTTCATGGTCCAACATTTCCAATGTTTGTTTCTTTTCCCCCTTCCCCTATGTGTGAAATTTCAGCAGATTGTTATGCAAAACAGTTTTGTGTCTCAGTGTGACTGGGGAGACAGCTGTTCGGCCTAATGAGGAGTGCGAGCACCACGGTATTTCTGGTGATTGAGACCCACGGAGGGAGCAGGATGTGCGAGGCCAGGCAGCGGTGTGTGGTGAGGAAGTGCCACGCTGTCAGCTGGAAGTATACGCTCGGCTGCTCCCTATGACAAGATAAATGAGTTTTGCTGGGGTTTGGCGGAGGCTGAGGCTTTTTTGGAGAACGGTTGTAGCACACCAAACTCCCTGTGGGACCCACAGTTTGAAGTGTCATAAGACTGCTTCCTCGTTGCATGTTTTTTTTTAATGTCCTACAATACCTGTCATCTTTTTGAGTTATTAAAAACCTAATGTCTTCTAGCATTCAATTAACATGGGGTCTGATGATCTTTTGTTGACACTTTTTATTAATTTAGCCAAGGGGATGTTAACCAGAGTTTTATCTGAAGACTAATACAAACAGAAAATAAATGTAGCCACATGAAAATATAGGGAGAAGGCTTTTAATTTTTGTGATATGGATGGGGTTAGAGAGGCAATACTTTTGAAAGGTTATCTGTGTATTGGCAGCTCTGTTAACTTCTTTCTTCCCACACAGACTTTGCTTCCCTTTCTTCTCAACATCGCCCTTTAGCTGGGTTGAAGTACTGTTTTAGTTTATAAGTAGAAAGTGGCTTTTCTTCTTGTTGCTATTTTGTTTTAATTAAAACAAACAAACACAAAAATAAGAAAAAAATTTGATGAGATGCATCTATCTCATATTAACAGATACCCCAGTTTGGAATAGCAGAGGACACAAAACATGGTCTGTACTGTGTAAGATCTATGAACTCAGCACTTGCTCATATTTTTTAAGTCAGTAGTGTTGTGCATGTTTTGAATTTACATGTATATGGTTTTTTAAATATGAACTCAATATGTTCCACTTTATTTAAAAAACAAAACAAAACAAACCAGCCAAAAACCCACTTGGTCTTTACTCAGATGACAATGAAGTGCTGATAACCCTCCCCAGAGTTGTCAGGTTTGTGAGAATGATACTGCTTTTGCCTTTCTAAACTTGTTGTTAAGTTACATAAAACTTCAAGTCTTGCAATCTTATTTTGAAAATGAGATATATTTGAGAATTGAATCAAGTGTATCTACAGGTTCTCCTAGAAGAGTCTTGTTTCATTTTGTTAAAAGCACAGTGTCTGGGAAGTGTTATGCAGACATCCATACACTGTTTGCTTTGGAACTGGGACCAAAATCCCTGATCATAAAAAAAAGCTCTGTATGTAAAAGGCTGTTTCCATAGTCACGTGTGCTTGCAAATAGTGCACATCCCAGCCTGCAGTGCCTTACAGGGACAAACTGAGGGTGGACAGAGGGCTAAGACCACTAAACACCTTTAAAGTTGTCAGTGAAAACAGAGCAGAGCCTTCCCTTTGCCTTTCTATCACTTTCCCTGTTGCCAGAGAGCTACAGCAGAACTTAATTGCATTTTTATTTTACAAACTTTTTCTTTGTGTATGCAGTAATATCTGAATGGATAAGCTGAAAACAGTACAGAAAAGGATTTTGTTATCTTTTGAGAGTCTTCACTTTACAGGAGCAGGAAGGGTTGAGCTAACCTAGGGCTGACATTTTGTTCTCATGGCAATAGTTCTGAGTGTTTTCATTTTAAAAATTATAAGTCTAAGGATTAGAGAACTTTATGTAGTCAAAGAAACTTAACCATGTTTGAAAGTGATAAGTGATAAAGGAGAACCACTATGAGATCAAAGAAGCTGGAAAGCTGTTTAAAGTTTTGAAAAAGAAAGCACCCAAAATTGGAGGGTTATTTTAAGACAGTTTCACAATCTATTCCAGCTGTAATTGGAATAAAATGTATGATGGGAAAACAGATCAGATTTGTTGGCAGCACAATACTAAAGCACAGTATATTCACTCACCTGGAGAATTTTGTATGACTTTAATTCCTTGTACTGTTGTGTACAAGGAAGTCTCCCAATGTGTGTGCAAATTATGGAGATTGAGTAGAGAATTTTAACCTTAAGAACAGTGTTTCAAATGTGTTGCAGCAGTATAGAGTTAAGGGAAAGCTTGAAATATTTTTCTGAGGTATTTTGCAGCTTGTGTAAAGAAATAGTGGATAGATAAATGCAGATGTTGGTATGTTTAAAGGAGGTTGGGCTGGTAGAAGACAAGGTTGGTGCTAAGAAATGCCAACTGTGTTGTGCAGCAGCTCGAACTACATGAATGAGTTTTCTTCTCAAATGCAAAGGTGCCTTATGAAAGAGATTTAGTAGTTGTAGCCTTCATGTATGTTTTAACTTTTTGACTTTTGGTTCATAAAGTACAGAAGATTAGTCAAAGACCTCTTGGTTCTTATTGTAATCATCTCCCTGGTAGCTTAGCTGCACTCTAATAATGCATTAGGAAACTTGGTATCATGAATAAAGTGGGCCTTCGTCCTAATTAAAACTTAATTTGGTGTCAATTTAAATTAAGAGGCTTGCATAAACTGGTCCATTGTGACCTGGCTTGTGCTAATCTCAATCAGCAGCTTGGATAGGACATGAATTCAAATTTCTGCAGAACAACAAAAGTGACAGTAACAACTGACAACTTAAATTAAAATTACTAAATTCTAAGAATTGACGTGTGTGACCCAAGTTACAAGATAGGTCATTAAATCAAATCTGTAGAAACAGAGTTGAGAAGCCTTCCCTAATGATTGTAGGGAGAGACAGAAATGCTTTGTTAGTACATAATGTGGGCAGAAAATAACTGGTTATGGATTGGGAATTCACACAATTACAACGAAAATAGTAGTACAAAAGCTTTTACTTGGTTAATATGAAGTAAAGGTAAAAGATTAAAAAAACCCACCATAGACTAATCATGAAAACTGTTCATTTGAGCCCAGGAGTATACTGTCTTCTGAAAGTATAAAATACAAAGATAATAAAATTCTAAAATAAAATTAATTATAAAATCTCTTCTAGAAGTAATATTTTGTGCTTTCATTTGCTACAAATATTCTCATGAGTCTTTCTGTGACTCCCCTTGTGCATTTATAGACATAATGGGTAAAATTTGAAAGAACTGTATGATCGTCCTTCTTACTACTTTTTGCCATTTTTTCATCTGACTCTCAGACTTACTGCTTGTAAAACAGGAATAGAAATCAAAAATAGAAATTGTTAGATTGCTGTAGCTATTGGCAGTGGAGTTATACTGGAGGCTCTGTGTGCGGATTACAGCATGTTTATGTGTGTGTACAAAATAGCTTTAGCTACACCTCAGGTAGGTATTCGACCTCCTTGGTGTCTGTGCAGGGAGTGACAAATGCCTGGGGTAGTTCTACAGAAGTCTTTGGATGGAAAGAAAAGAAATTGACTATTAGTCTCAAGGCACTTAAGAGGAAGAATTGTACTCCATGCTACAAATTCAGTTTGTGTTGTCTGATAACCCTACTGGACATTAGTGCAGAACTTCAAAAATGAATTAAGGTTTCAACACTGGACATGTTTAGCTCATATCAGGATCAGTGGAATATGAAAGATGCCTCCAGAGTGAGTCTCTAGTGTTGGGCTGCTTCTCTTAGCAATTGGGCCAGTCAGATTATTTTTAAAAAAATAAAATACAAAAGACATATGTTAAAGGAAACACAGGAACAGAAACTACAATTTCTAAATCAGATGCTAGTTTAATAATGAACTTTAGAGCTTAATGTCTTTCTCTTCTGATTGTTTAGCACTGTGACATCTGCAGTTTTCACTGTGGGAGACAATGTTGTTTCTGGTAGTGATGACCGTACAGTAAAAGTCTGGGATTTGAAAAACATGAGGTCTCCTATTGCAACAATCCGTACAGATTCTGCAGTCAACAGGTAAGCAGATCTCTGAGTTACTGTTGTTCTTCATTCATGTCTTCTTAATTAATTCTTAATTTCTTTCACCTGTGGGAGTGGTCCAGAGCTGAGACACAGAGGTTTAGACTGGACATTTTTTTGCCAAGAGGGTGATCAAGTCCTGGAACAGACTTCCTAGAGAGATGGTCGATGCCCCAAGCCTACTAGTCTTGAAAAGGCATTTGGGCAATGTCCTTAATAACATGCTTTAAACTTTGGTCAGGCCTAAATTGATCAGGCAGTTGGAATAGATGATTGTTGCAGGTGCCTTCCAACTGAAATAGTCTATTCTATTAATTCACTGAACATACTCCTAAAATTGGAGTTGAGATTTGTAAGAATTTGAGAAAGGTCTGAAATGGTTTTATAAAATGCTTGTGTAGTCAGCATTAATTTTCAGTAAATACATAGCATTGTTTTTCTGAGATTTTTTTATACGGGATGAAAATGTTAAGGCTGTTTGAGGATCTGGTACAATAGAAAATACTTTAATGATTCAATACTTTTTCCTCTTTCCATTTGTGAATTCTAGTCAGGAAAAATTCAGCCGCGTCCGTTCCCGTGAGCTTAAATTTGTGCTGTCAAGTTCTATTTGCCAGGCTCGTTGTTTTGCTCGTAACCTACTTTTGTCTCTTCTGTGCAGGATTAACGTATGTGTTGGCCAAAGAATCATCGCCCTTCCACATGACAACCGACAGGTCAGATTGTTCGACATGTCAGGAGTGCGATTAGCACGGCTCCCTCGCAGTAACAGACAGGTAACTGGGTATTTATAGCCCTCAAGTACGTCTGCTCTTATTTCACATGAGGTTAAAAGCAGGATTTGGGCTCTCCAGCTTAAAAGCTGAACAAATGATGAACAACACTTGTCTAAATAAATGCGCTGTCGTTGGTTACTGAAAAGAGCCAACATGCAAATATGAAACATTTTGAACTCTTTTATTGGAATTGCAAATAATGTTTCGAGTGCATTTCATAATTTTTTCTCCTTACTAAAATGGAAGAAGTGTGTAAGAGCCTTTCAAGATGTGTTTTAATGCCTTGATGTGAATTGTGTCAGGAAGGTGGCTCACTATGAGATTTAACAGTGGTTTTCTTGTATTTGTGTTTTGGGTTTTTTTAATTACACAGAGTTTAATTTGATATATATGCCAGGTTGGATGAGGCTTTGAATAGGCTTGTCTGGTGGAAAGTGTCCCTGCCCATGGTAGATGGGTTGGAACTAGATGATCTGTAAGGTCCCTTCCAGCCCAAACCATTCTATGATTCCATGATGCAGACAGAAGGAAAAAGTGGGGGTCAGTTTTGTGAGCTCTCCTTTTACGATTTGGTGATAAATTTTAATTTTTTTTTTCTTCCGTGCTTATGCGCGTACATTCTTGATATTTAGTACCACATAATAAACAAGCCTTGCTGTGCCCATCAGGCTTTGTGCATTTGTGGTGCTATTTAGCATGGCAAGCATCACTAATAGAGCAAATTAGACTAAGTGAAATTAATTGATTATGCCACTTCAGTAGATGTTTTTTGGGTTGATTCAGCAGTTCTTGACAGAATTTAGGAAGGAGTTGTAAGACTTATTTAGTCTATTTTAGGATTTTTCTAATTTAGGGTTTATTTTTAGTTCATTGTAGTCTTTAGGGGTTTTTTTGGGTGTGTGTGCATGTCTTTTTTTTTTTTTTCCTTAGTAGTTCCATTCAGACTGACAGTACTGAAACCATGGCCAATTTATCCATTCATCTGTCTGTCTATCTATCTATCTATCTATTTAATTTTTTAACTTAAATGTTGCTCAGAATCCTATTTTGGACACTTTTGTTACTATTGGACTTGAACTTCTCAGTGTGATATTCCTCCTGCTGTAGTATTATCCCTTCTGAATTATGAACATGATGGGCACTTATTCTTGCAGGCTTGTAACAACATAGTTGCCAGCAAGTAGTTCCATATTTTAAGATTGCTTTTATAAATAAAAATTCTGAAATCAAAATTGGATTCGCTTTTGCAAATAAAAGATAGCAAACACACCTTGGAAAATTCAAAAGTTTAGATGCACCTGTTTCTGTGCTTCTGTCCTTATTGATCCAGTGCTGGATCTCATCATTGTAAAGACTTACCTTGCAGATGAAGGTAACAGTGACTTTTAGGATTCTCAATAACTGTTTGTAAAAGCTAAGATGAGCATTGGCAAGTTTGCCTTGCTGACCCAGAGGTTTCCAAGTGCCGTGTCGGTAACGCTGCTGTCTCCCGGCTGTCGCAGGGGCACAGGAGGATGGTGTGCTGCTCTGCCTGGTGTGAGGACCATCCCATATGTAACCTCTTCACGTGTGGGTTTGATCGTCAGGCTATCGGGTGGAACATCAACATCCCTGCTTTGCTACAGGAGAAATGAAATCCTGAAAGTGTTTCCGCGTTTGTGTCGCCATGGACTTCTACACTTCGGCAGACTGCTCCGAACACTGGTCTGCTGTCGCTGTAAAAGCTCTTCCATGAGGGGAAGCTTGAGCAAATGTTGTTCTTGTTACCACATTGTGCACAGTTTGCATGAGTTGTACAGAAGATGTGATTTTTTTAAAGATTAGTTTGTCTTGTGTATGAACTTTTATATTTTGGCATCCACTGGTCAATATGTTCACTGTTGCATATAGCACATAAATGTTCATAAGTTATTTAGCATTCAGTAGTTACACAGTAGGGCATTACATTTGTGACATAAATGTGAAACTTATGTAATTACTGTAGAGAGTGTATAGCAGTCTGTTTTGTTTTTCCATGACTCTACATATCTGCCTTGTGTTAAAAAGAATCTGCAGGGCTAAAACTTTGAAATGAAGTGTGAATTTCACTAGGTGTATGATTGTAAACATTTTCCTGTTTGCATCTGATTTGGAATACTTTTTTAGTGCTGCGTTATAGTGCAACTTCAGCTCCATTTTTGTTCCAGTTACTGGAGAAATAGTAGATTTGAGAAGGAAAATGCAAGCAACTTGTAGTGAATATAGACTACCAGGTTTATTTGTAATGCTTTTTGTACTTTTTCTTTTGAAAAAAGAAAAATATTTGTTCTGCCCTTCTTATATAAAGTGATTCTAAAACCTCATTGCATTTCATACTAGCAAAAATCCAGAATATTATAATTCTAATCACTGAAATCTGGTCAAACAAATTCTGAAGCACTTTAGTTTATAGCTATTGTTATAAACCGTTTATGAAAGTTTGACTTTACCAGTGAATGTGAGCTGACCTTTGTAAGAAGGATTACTTCCTTTTGGTGATCTGCCCAGAAAGGAAATAGTTTTTTTTGGGGGTGGTGTTTTTGTTTATGTACCTACAGTGAGCATATTTTTAATTGTGTTCACTTCCCATATTTTTATTTTGAGCCAGCAATACAAAGCAAATGAGTACTACCTCAAAAATGAATGTTGGTCAAGATGCGTCGAATCTCTCTGTAGCCTAGAAAAAAGCACTTTTGGTCTCTGCCTGAAGTACTATCTCTGACAGGAGAGGAAAGACAATCATACTACATGTGATCCTTAAGGTAATTAACACTTAAAGCTAGTAGAGCAATACAGTCAGTAAACATCATCTGTTACCTTTCTGTTCTCAGACATGACAAGGGCTGCTGCAGTCCCTGTCCTGTTCCAGAAGGGGATAATTAACATAGGTCTCCCTTCTTTCTCCCAAATGATCTTACTCTGGTTTTGCTCCTCACTGTGCTTGGCTGTTTTTTGCACTGGCAGTGGGGTGTTACACTGCAGCTGCTGCTGATGTAAGTAAATGCAGGTGGCAGCTGATGTCTTCAAAAGAACAGAAAGGCTGCTTCAGACAGACACCTCTTTTTGGCTAAAGGGAGATGCTGCCCCTATAACTGTCTGACATATCACAGTATAATATGAAGGGTGAGGGTAAGCCAAGGGTACACTCTTACAATGGGAATCATGGGGTTTATGGTGGGTTGGCAGAAGTATTAAGAACGTTTTATCTCATCATTATGATTTTGTGAAACTACAGCTGTGCTCATGTCCTCTACAGCACTGTTTATAATGACATGAAGACAGATGTGTTAGCTGGTTCTGTTAACTAACATATATATGGCATGAGAGTGCAATGGGATTGGATGATGAATGCATCAGTGAGGAACTGTAGAAAAACAGGGGTCCTAGACATAGTTTTGGAGTGTAGCATTAAGGAAGCTCAAAATATTTAATGGAGGATATATATGTAGTATCTTTATAGTACAGGTCATCATAGTAGTTTGATCCCTTGTTTTTTTCTTTTGTGGGGTTTGGGTTGTTTTTTTTTTTTGAGATACAAGATACATACACAGCTGTGCTGAAGTAATCTTAAATACCAAAACCAGTGAGGTTGCACAAAGCAGTTGCAGAGTTTTAAGTCTTCTGCTGATAAAAGTTAAATAATGGTGTCAAAGTTTATTTTCACTTTTTTTTTCTGGGTTTTTAACTCTGGGGTAAAACCGTTTAATGTTGAGTTACAGGTTTTATTCCTTAAGAAGACAAGATTAATTTTCTTTTAGTTGGTGACAGGAAGAATTTTACAAAGGTTTATGCTGTTTAAAAATAGAGAGAAAAATGTCTGGCCAGTTAAAGCAGTTTCTCTAGCATGGCCTGCTTGTAGTGTCTTGAGCAATGGCTGTGCTTTATTACCTGAGGTGGGGGAGAGGCTCACTGGTTTTGGTCCTGCTAAACTAAAGTGTCTGTTTAAGCTTCTCTAATATATATGTAATACAGGACCACTGGACTCTATGCAGTTTAATCATCATTGCTGCAAACTTTTTATATCACCAGAGGGACCGTCCTCTGGCACCAGGAATGGATTATTACATTATTTCATTTTGAAAAAATCAAGCAAACAAGGTGCTAGAGCCACGTTCTTATGAGCAGGCTAATACTTAAATCAGCTGAACACTTAACTATCACGTAGCTTAATTTTATATGCTGTACTGAAGGGTAAGCAGAACTGCCATTCCCCTTGAAGCAAAACATGTGAGCAGTGGTGAATAATACGACATTGACTTAATATGTGGAAAGCGTTTCATGGCTTTTAATGTTCTAAAGAGTGTTTTTCAGCACTGAACAATGTCCAGCATTTCATAACATGGAGGAGAGTTGCAGTTACAGTTTCAGTATTGTGCAGAATTTCACAGAAAACTCATCACTGGGCAAAACCAAGCTTCCGTGTCTTTCTCTCAAGCAACGCACGTCAGTTTTCACAAAGTTTGTGTATAATATACAATCAGAAAGATCTGGAATGAAACATCTTATTTGTTGCCTAAATCTGTGAAAACTACCTTTTGGGGAAAAGAATTTATAAGTTATGTGGAACCACTTTTTATTATTCTGCTAATTTGTTTTTAGATGTAAAATGTTTTTCTTCATTACAATTCAAAATGCATTAAAACATTCAACAATTTTTTTTTGCAAGTTGCTGTTCTTCTGTGTTGCATTAAGGTTGGTGTCAGTATTTCACTTTGTTAGTAGTCAGAGGATCTTCCTATCCACATTCCACTCTTTTCCACTCAAAAAGGTTGTTTCTGAGGCATTGATGAGCACAGCTCCTCTGGAAGAGAGGGACAAGGCTGTTTACTACAGCAGGAGTTCTGTAGTGCTAATGATCATGCTGCCAGTAAGGTATCTAGAGTGAAAAGGTGCTCAGGCCTGCATTTGTACTGTCTTCTCCAATTCTGTATGGAAAGAAATTGTAATTGCATTTTGTTATGCAAAACTGTCCATGTGACTTTTCACAGCACTCTACAAATTGACATTTTTAAATGAAATCTAAACCAGGTTTTTTAATATGGTTTTTTTTTATATGTTTAGAATACAGCAAAAGTGTTGCAAAAATACTCTGGTGGAGAAAACCCACCATCATTTTTTCTGTAGGTTAAAATAAGTGATGGTTGCACCCATATTCTGAACAAAGCTTTGTAGTGTTGAAATAAAACCCAAAAACTTGGTGTTGTAGAAGGCTTCTGAAACCCTTGGGTTTCAGAAGCTGAAGCGGTGCTGCCTGGTCAGTATCCGAGGGCAGGATGTTGCTTTAGGTGTGCCATATTTTCCTTTGATGTGCTCTAGGATCCCTCATTGCCACATTTGGAATTAATCAGGGATGCTGGGAATGTGGAGCAGACATAAAAGAACAGAGTTACAAGGTGGCACAGGTGACATAAGGGCTGGATTAAGATAGAATGCCAGTCCCTGGGCTTTAGATGATTTTAACTGAGGGATTCCAGTCAAGACAGGACTTACTGTCAACTGGCTTAAACTTTTTTTTTTTTTTTAAACCAGTGAGTAAATAGCACTAAGTTGTTTCAGTACATCTGTGTTTAAACTCACAGATGAGCTGCAGGAGAACCACTCTGTCATGCACCATGGTTTGCTCTTTAGGCCGGTCTAGAAATTATATTTAATGCTCTGTTGAGACCTGAGTATGTCACTGAAAAATTATTCAGCCTTGTGATATTTTATTTTTAAGTAATGTTACCTTTTCTAATTCCCACAGGTCAGAGTTTTCAGAACATAAGTAATCTGCAGGAGCTTGCGGAGGAAATCCTGTTTAATTTAGACTGTAAATCCTGGTCAAAACATGCCAGTGACTGGGAAAGGTGTCATACTGGAGCAGTGTGGGATTCTGTAGATTTGCTGCTTGTCAGAGTCCTCAGAGTGAGAATATTGAGGAGTATCAGGAGGGGCTGTTTCTCAGAGGTGCAGAGGTGAGGCTGGTGAGTGTTTGCAGCATTGAACCTAAGTGCCTGAATTAGCAGCTTGGATGCCTTGTACAATTTTGGGGAGTTTCTGAAAGGTGATTCAGCATCCCATGTAAAAGTTAGAATTCAAGAATTCAGATTTACTGCTGAAAAATGGAAGTGGTGCAAAGTGTTGGTGATGATGTGTACAATAGAAGGGAGTTACAAGTAGGAAAAACAAAAGTTCCGACTTGAACTGTTTTGAAAATGGAAATTTGTTTTCCGTCGGGTGGCGACTGGTGCACAGTGGAATGGCAGCACTGTGTGTTAATCCTGCTGCTTGACTCTACTTGAAGCTTCATTTCCAGCTGTTGAAAATGCACAGCTCCACCTGCTTTTGCCAAAACTTGACACACTGGGTATTTGCTTGAGTTTAGCATTGATTTTGTGTGGTTTCCCTCTCCCATTTGTATTTGTCTCGTAAGAGTCAAAGAATGGTTTGGGTTGGAAAGGACCTTGTAATGTCATCTAGGCCAAGCCCCTGCAACGAGCAGGGACATCTTCAACTAGACCAGGTTGCTCAGAGCCCCGTCCAACCTGACCTTGAATATTTCCAGGGTCAGGACATCCACCACCTCTCAGGGCAACCTGTGCCAGTGTTTCATCATCGACACAAGTGAAGTTTTTAAAAAATTTCTTCCTTATATGTAGTCCAAATTGACCCTCTTTTAATTTAAAGTCATTACCCCTTGTCCTATTTAAAACAGGCCCTGCTAAAAATTTTGTCTCCATCTTTCATATAGGCCCCCTTCAAGTACAGAAAGGTTCTGTATTTTAAGCTTGAGCAATCTCAATTGACTAGGGAATCTCTCTAGCTAAGCCAAAATAGGGGCATCCAAATGTATAGATTACATCAGGGAGGTACTGCTGTGTTTTCAGTAGGGTCTTAGTTCTGGGAAAGGCCAAACTGGCCTTTCCTTCAAAGTTTCACCTTGCTGAGATGTCAAAATTTGACATCCTCCTTCACAAATCCAATGGGAAAAAAAAATTGGCTTTAGTGATCAAACTTCTGACTCCAGTTGGCCCCAATGACTTTTGTTCAAAGTATACACCTTAAATACAAACAGGATCAGTCTTACACAGAGGTGGCATTTTTATGGAAAGGAGAATGAATAACTGGCTAACTTCATCAAATTAATGTTCTAAACTTATGTGAGTTTAGCATTTAATACTTTTATTCAAATTTTTTCCTTAATGTGCTTATTTGGATAAAGGCAGAAATCTGATCTCAATTTTCTTGTTAGTTTTTTTAAACCTTATCTAAATCTTTGCTATGTCACTGGGATCAGCTTTGTAGAGAGTCAAAACCAAACCTGAGTATTGTGTGGGACAGTGTGTGTCCTCTGAGGCTGTAATCACTGAGCATAGAGGAAGGTGAGTAATCCCAATGATAAGAAAGAGTAAAACCTTACACAGCACACAACAAACAGCACTGAAATCAAGTTGATGGTATGATAAAAACTTGAAGTACAGGATTAAGTATTAGAGAGAAGGGAGAGAAATGAAGGAAAGGCAAAACTTCTCAGCGGCGCTTTAAGGGTAGAGGGAGTAGCGATGATATCATTATTAATTAAGATTGTTTTTCAGTGTGGATAATTGCAGGACATGTTGTTTTGGCCTTTTGTGTTTTATGAAGCTTGTGAAAACTGTCTCTGCCAGAAGGCTGTCAGAAAGTTGGATGCTGTCATTGAGTGGAGCCACCTTCAGAAGTGCTGAGCTCTCATCAGTGTCCTGCGCAGTCTGGCAGGTGGTTAGTAGCTTGGAAAATCAGATTCATGGGTCTAAATATGGATCTAGAAACTTCATTTTAGGTGCCTGTTTTTGAAAACGATACCCTAATTTTGTATATATTTTATATTGCGGCTGAATTAATGAGCTGAAAAGTTCTTGGACACAGATGCATGGTTTACTGAAATATAAGAAAACCAGAGAGATAATTTTCCCTCCCAAATTATATAAGGCTACGTGGAGTTTACTGTTGGAAAACTGGAGCTACATTGCATCGGTCCCAGATATAACTACTTAGTGATCACTGAATAAACACTTTCAGATGCTCATTTTTCATCTTGCAAAAATCTTACCCAAGCAGATGTCATAGCGTGAGCTTTCCATAGCAAAGGCAACTGAAGGATGAGCTGAAAATATATGTATGTATATATATTAAAAAAAATTTAAAGATCTCCCACATTTCTGCCCTTATCAGCAAAACTGAGGAAATCAAACCCGACTGTATGTCTGTATGTGGCTCTGACCATTCAAACTGATGCTGTATTTTTGTGAAAATGTGATGTTTTGGTTAGACCTCTCCTGTGCTGACCTACTGGATGCCCATCTGCAGATGAGCTACCAAGGGGCATCCTTGATGTCTGAAAACAAGTGTAAGAACAGGAGGTCACAGAGGAGGTACATATATCTGTGTCCAAACAGTTTTTGACCAGAAAATACAACTCCCTTGAACTGAGCTAGTGCACAACATTTATTTACCTTGGCGCAGGCACAGGACCCTGACCTCACATGTCAGTTACTGCATCTGAAATGGCATCAAATGAAACTTGATTGTAACTTTTTGTGCCAACAATAGATGGAGCCACATGGAAATAAAGTGAAGGGCTTTGCCTTCCACAGGTGCTCAGGCCAAATAGGAGCAGGTGTACAGAAATCAGGAGGAAAGAGCCTGATTTTACACCAGATTGCTGGAAGAGAAGGGACCCTGAGAAGCTGTGTGGAGAGCTGAGGGTGCACTGTTCTTCCCCAGGACTCCTGTTGACGAGGAGTACCTGTTTTTTGGAGAGAGGCATTTTTAAGAATACCTTCAAGCATTTACACAGACTCTTTCCTATTCAATCATAGACTCACAGAGTTGGAAGGGACCCCTAAGGATTATTGAGTCCAACTCTCAATACTTGGACATCATTTGTCCACATTAAAACCTGGAGTTATGTTCTTGGTGCTCAAGGCAGCCATTGTAGCAAAGCATGATTTTGCAGTTAGAGAATAATTAGGCTGGAAGGGCCTCCTAAATCGACCCTTTAAATCCTGAATTTTTTCTTCTATTTTTCTTGCTCAACTGCAGCATCTCCCTTATGTTCATGCAGGCTTGTGTTTGCAGTAGTATTTTTAATGATTCCATTTATTTTGTCAAACTAGTATCTTCTTTTGAAAAACATACTGGCAAGGTCTGCAATGAAGCAGCTGTAAACAGATCAACTACAAACAGTGCATTAAAGGAAGGTTTAAGACCAAGAGCCAGTTAGAGCTGTATCCCTGCAGAGATGAACTGTGGTCCACATAAAGCCAGCAGTCATGAGAAGAATATGAATATCAGCAGGCAAGACCATCCAAAATCTTGAAGTTTTGCTCTGCTGGAAATAGAGACAAACGGGTAGAGCCAATTGTGGAGAATAGAGCCAGCAAGGGAGTACTGAGAAAAACACCCTGCAAGCACAGCATCCCAAGGATTGCTCCTGCTCCACAGCTGAAGCCATTAGACAGCAAACAGATACTCACAGACACACACAGATATTGGATGCTTCTCCTTCACATTTTTCAGGCTCCTCAGAACTTTGCAAGTTCCCTCTTTCTCCTTCCACCTCTTCACACCAGCCTTTTGCACTGTGCCATGCTGTGTGGGAGCCATGGGGGCAGAAGAATGTGGAGAAGAATAACAAGG